GTGCAAGAGGTCCACGCCCATCGAGACGCTCTGCGACGGCTGCCCGGCAGTCTTCGCCACGTACCTGAGCCATTGTCAGTGTCTCTGGTTCGACGCCAGGCCGGACTACGCGTTCCTGCGGCGACTCTTCAAGGACCTCTTCTTGCGCGAGGGCTTCCAGAGGGACGGCCTCTTCGACTGGTCGTGGCCGGATGAGCAGAGCCCCAGCTCCTCCCCTCCGGTGGCGGCCGCCGAGGAGTGTGCGCATGGCGACGCCGCAGGAGCTGGCGACGTTGCCAAGCCTGCTCTTGGGCAGGCCAAGCTCAGGCAGGGCATAGTGAGATCGCTGCTCAGGCGCTTGTCGAAGCGCCGGTGCGTCGCGTGAGCAGACATGCCGTGCAACTCAGTAGGTACCGCGCCCACACGTGCCGCGCACGCGCTGCACATCGTTCGCTGAACGTGCCTGAGCTGCGGGTCCTCCTCTTCTTCCTCCTCCTCCTCCACCTCCTTCCCCCCTCCAACTTACGGTGGTGGTGGTGGTGGAAAACGGGCCCATCAGCTCTCACGCGCCCGTCGGAGCGACGGCGCGACGCGTGAGCGGGTGTTGCGGCGGGCGGCCTGCGCGCCAGGAGGGCGCGATCGTCTCTGCCCTGTGTTGCCCTCACCGTTCCCCCGCTTCGCGAAGAGTGCGTGCCGGTCTTTCTTTATTCCCAGTGTCTTGGTCAAGAGGCATTATGGGACGCAGCGTTTTCTGCAGAGTAGATCTCCGCAGGCAGTACTGCACGCGGGGCGAGCGCCGAATGTTCCATCGGTGGAGCATGCAGCTTGTGCAGTGGATTTGGATGGATGGCACTGCCTCTGTCGTCCCAATGCTGTGGCAACGGGGCGGACGTGGCATACCGAAAGGTCGCCCCTGTCCTGGATTCCAGCCTCCTGCAAATACGGTGGGAAGCGCATACCAGCTTTGTAGTCAGTGGCGTACGTACCATCACCAAGCTCCATCAAGCTCCATCGAGCTCCATCGACAACATACTTGCACGTCTGCCCGCGCAGGGCAGCTTTGGCTTTTTTCGGACCCATACGCTAGGTTGAAGTGGCACCTCGCTTGTGAATTCCTTCGCTAAGCAATTTCATCTCGCGAGCCATCCTGTCCACCAGGCTGGTGCCCACCTTCAGACCCCAGCAATACTTGCCGCTTGTCTGCTCGCCTGGCCGTGTCTGAACTATCTTTCATTGTGACACACGCCATCTTCCGATTTGTCGCTTACTATTGATCGTGGTTGTGCCTTGCCATCCGAATATTTATGTATGTTTACATGTATACATATATATGTGTATGTATGAAGGAATCGATGACATGATGTATTCATGTATGCATGTGCGCATGTACGTATGCACGTATGTACGTTTGTACGTGCGTACGTACGTATGACTGTATGTCTGTGTGTCTTTACGCACGTGTGTATGTGTGTATGTGTGTATGCATGCATGCATGCATGCATGCATGCATGTATGTATGTATGTGTATGTATATATGTATCTATATAAGGTAGTGTAATGTCGTGTAATGTAATGTAAAGTAATGTAGTGAATGTAATGTAATGTAGTGTATGTAATGTAATGTAATGTAATGTAATGTAATGTAATGTAATGTAATGTAATGTAAGGTAGTGTAATGTAGTTTAATGTAATGTAATGTAACGTAAGGTAATGTATTGCATTGTAATGTAATGTAATGTAATGTAAGTATGTGCATGTATATGTACGTGTATGTATGTATTTATGTATGTACGTACGTATGTTTGTATGAATGTAATGTATGTATGTATGTATGTATGTATGCATGCATGCATGCATGTATGCATGTATGTATGTATGCATGTATGTATGCATGTATGTATACATGTACGCATTTAGACACATATATATACATACAGAGCTGTATCAGTAAATATGCTCCTCTCCGCCTCATAATTTTAACTTATTAATACATGTGCATGCTGTTCACTGCCTGCCTTGAACTTGCGCTGCATTCCGCAGCTGTATTTGATTACTCAAGCAAGCTTCTGGTTGCTTGCAGGAGAGAAAAGGAGCGCGCCAGCCCTCGGCCGTCGCGCGGCGTCGGTCGTAGGCCAGCCGGCCTCCTCCCTACACATTCCTGATCTAGTAATCTTGCTTAGCGGATATTTGTCTTATCGATGTCTCATCCCGTCCCTCTCTCCCTGAGCAGAGTGAACGTGAGATCTTAATCCCTTTGGCATCTTATCCCGGTTCTCAGAGGAAAGATTGGTTACCAGCCGAAGCGCGCGACTTAGTCGACGCGGGATCATCTCACCAAGAAGCAAGAACTTCGGATGAACCCCTCGGCTTAGTCGCTGCGGGAATGAGCTGTGATAAGACTGATGACGTGTCCGTCGTTTCGCGAAACGCAGACCAGTGTGTTGTACAACATGACGGGCACGACACTAATGAGAGCGGCCCTGGCCAGGGCCGTATTCCTCCTTCTAGTATCGCCACTCGGGTATCTAGGGGTAGGAGCACTGAAGGAATTGTAGAGATGTCGGTAGACATATCTCCCTCTGGAAGTCCGATTGGCAATCGGGAACAAACCCCAGACCCGTATGGGCGAAAGGGCATAACAGCGAGACCTAGGCGAAGCGCGTTCTCGTCTTGGAGTGCCAAATCGACGGAGTCAATCAGCCCGATTCCGAATGCTACACATACAATCGTGCATGCCGCTGGTGAAACCAGTCGGCAAGGGGAAGCCCTTGAGAACGCAGGCATGTACCCCAGCGTCCCAGGCGAATACGCAGGTACGAATAGAGAAGTCCCCGTCCCGATAGCATTAAATGGGCAATTCGGTCAGGACAGTGATGCTCCCATTGATAAAGAGCATGACGTAAACTCAATGGAGGAATATTTTGGTAATATCAACAACGAAATCTCTTTGAGCCGAGCATTGTCCCTGATGCTGAAAGAAGACCTCCCCGCCCAAGGCGAGAGGTGGTCCCCAGATGAACCTGATGAAGATACCAGTACCCTGACGCCTCAGGCGGACAGGACTGAGACTCAGGCGAAGCATGAGAGGGAGTCCACAGGACGGACTCCTGCTCCCCATCTCAAGAAGCAGAGAAACCAGGATTATAACCTAAATGTCTCACCGCTGAAAGAAGGTTGCTTTCGTCCCGCGGTCACCTCAGGCGACTGGCAACCCTCGATACCAGCTGTTGTTGAGGATGAGGAAATGGTTGGACAACCAGCTTCGTACACTGAGCTAATAACACAGGACGGGGGGGATGAGGAGCTCCGAGACGTACCTAAACCCCCGGAAAGTACTTTTGTTCGCCCCAGATCGACTGCGTCTAGTTGGGGAAGACCCAGAATACTTAGATCAGGAGCGAGATCTACTTCAAGGAGCAACAGTACCATATCTATAATGGAGGCATGCTGGGGCCCAAACGTTGACTGCACGCCTCAAGCGGACAGCAGATGTCTGGGGAAAGCCTACAGGCCAGAAGGTGCATGTAGGCATCCAGGTTGTAAGAGTTGCTCTGAAGTGCGCTCCAAATGTAGCGTCCAATGGTTGTGTGCAGAGTGCCTTCCTATGGAAGAACCCAACTGCACCTATCTTCTCATGCAGACTATTCAGGATCAGGCTAGGCTAGCTGAGGCTGACACCCAGCGAGACTTCCTCGCAAGTGAAGCACAGTTGGCCGAAAGGGCCCGTCTGGATCGAGAGGAGATGAATGCAACCATGGTAGAAGTTCGGAGGGCGTTAGAGGCTGAGAGACTCGCCCTAGCTATGGCCGCTAGAGAGCGAGAACGAGAACTGATGGAACACATTTATCATCAGACCGCGGCCGCCAAGCGGCCGGCGGGGATAGAAGCCGAAAACAAATATCATGAGCTGCTGGCTTCAGAACGACAGGCCGTCGCGGCGGCAACTGCTCAGTCTGTTAATGTCGAAGCGGTCACCGCGGCCGTTGCGGTAGCTAGAGTAGAAGGAGAACAAATCGCTGCAGTCAGGGCGGAACGAGAAAAGCAGACCTTACACGAAGAGCTTTAAAGCGCCAGGCTGGAAGCGGTTAACCCCCGAGCAGTAGCTGCGAAGATAGCCGACCAGAACAATCAGTATTTGGAAGAACTTAGATCGCATGAAGAAGCTAGAGCACCCCTGCAGCGCACGCAACCGAGCAATGCTACATGCCCGCCGGCCAGGCCGACTGGGGCGAACATGCATCTACTGTCAGCGGCTCAGTCGTCTGGCACTGTGTCCGTTCCATTGCAGTCCGACTTGGCAAATGTAGCGAACGCGGGAGCGTCAACCCCGCTGGTAAGGGAGGTGGCGCAGTCTCCACCCGCGGAACGGTGAGAAACTCAAGCAGAGAGTTTCATAGTGGCTCAGTTTTGCTCGGTTTGCTTTCGCCCGAGGACGGGTAATTGCGCTGGCTGTGGCCGGTCGGCTTGTGAAGATCCTTTCGATGCGAGCGCTAGAAGATGTTCCAAATGTGTTTTACGGAAGGGTGAAAGGTCGGCCGCCAACGTGCGAGAAGAAGAGGCCATGGCGAACGCAGCTGAGACAGAGAAAGGAATGATGAGGTTCAAAGCCATCATCACGAATCCAACTCCGTATACTGAGGATAGACAAGGAAAAGGGCTCACTTTGGGCTCATTTGATTTGTCGTTGCTATCACGAGACACTCCTGTGAGGCCGTTGTTGCGCGATGACTTTACTGTCCCCGGTCCTGCCCTAGAGGGTCCAGCTGAGCCGAGTATCCCTGAGAATGGATATCCAATTAACAGTAAATTGACAGGGTCAAGTGACGACAACATACTCGCCAATTACCGCCCATCCGCAAAGGATGGCCCTATGGGACCGACGGCGACTATGTCGTCGGGCGGTGAAGGACAGGGCGGAGATGGGGGCGATAAGAGCGACGCTCCGAATTCCGCGAGCACGTCAATGCGTGACGATGATCGTGGCAAACGACCACATAAATCGCCTCCAGGAAGCCCAGGAGGTTCAGATCCCTCGGATGGCGGAGGCAGCCGCGGGGGACCTCAGGGCCCTCGCGGGCCGCAGGATCCAGTTGTTACTGATGAAAGTACGCCGTTAGATCAATGGAGACAGGTCGGTAACAATCAGAAGATCGACTTGATGGATATCCCCGATGTTGCAAACATACGGGAGTGGCAAATGCACGCGGTCCAGGCGATCGCCGGCTCGTCGCCTGAGAGTCAGGCAGCGCGTCGCTGGGTCGCGGAAGCTATGGGCCAAGCCGTGGGCGATGAGCAGCTGAAAGATGCAGGGCGCTTTCAGCGTCTTGATCTTATGATTGCTACAAATCTGATTGAACAATTCAACAAAATGCGAAGAAATCGCAGCCAGCCTGGTCATCATTTCCATTTCCTCCAACAGATCCAACGGATGGAATGCAGCGCCCAGAATGAGGCAAGGCTCTTAACTGGACGCGAGATGGTACGAGCCATTCGCCATTGGTGCTCTGTCAGATCGGAGTTGGGCCAATATCGCATGTCGCGTAATTTCTTCAAGGTAGTTATTGACCCCCGCAAGCCAGATGCTGACCTGCATCATTTCTATAGTGAATGGACAGACGTATACCAACAGCTCTACGGCGCCCGACCTCCGTCCGAAGAAATGAGGGCCTCAATTCATGCGCACTTCCTTGGGCAATGCAGAAAGCCGAGCAAACTGAATTTTGCATGCCAACTATACGACATGTCAAGGGACAAAATGGGACATGGCGTGAAGAGCTATGAATGGCTGATGGAGCAGATTGAGGAAATGATGTTGCGAGAAAAAGGAATGGAACATCAGCGTGCATGAGGATGCCTTGAACCAACGTGCTAGGCAGGCACGGTTCGGCGGAGGTGGGGGGTAATGACAACCGAAGGAATGCCGGCGGCAAAGCCGCTCCGGCAGCAGTGGCAGCGAAGCTGGGGAAATCCACTGATCTCATGAAAAGCGGATTGACTAAGGGCGAGACGACGTGTAAGTACGTGCGTAAGGGCGAATACTGCCCATATGCAGGGAAAGGCTGTCCCTTTAATCATAAGAAGCCCAAGAATGCCGCGTCGGCTCAGCCGAGTACGGGAAAGAAGTCTAATGCCGCTCCTGCCCAGGATAAGGGTACCAGAGGGAGATCTAAGGACCGAAGCCGAAAGGGGCAGGGCCGATCCCAGACCCCGACAGGCGGATGTGGAAAAGGAGCGCAACAGAAAAACAGGAGTCGATCCAATCAATCGCGCGGAGAAGAGAGCACCATTCCATGTTACGCGTATTCCCGAG